AGCTCAATAAAAATATTAAAAATAAAATGTTAACAAGCCACAATAACATTGACAAATACATAGTTTAGGAAGAGCCTGCCTGAAACTATACAAAAAAGCAAATAAGCAAATGGATGTATAGAATTGACAACAACAACCACGCTGTCGAGTTTAAATAGCGGCAAATCAGCTGCACTTGATAGTAGTTGGTTGAATAAGGAAAATGAATTAGCAACAAGAGTTTACGGGATGTACATAGCTCAGTGGTTAACGCTTCTGACTTTGAACATCGAATTCGCAGGTTCGATCCCTGCTGAAGTCTAGAAAAAGAAGTCTGATGAGGAGATGTGGTGATCTCCGAAATAGTGCTATAACTTCTACCGCTTAGACTTTGTTGCTTTTTCAATTTTTCCTAATAAACAATCGTGGTACAAAGCTCAATAAAAATATTAAAAATAAAATGTTAACAAGCCACAATAACGTAAAATTGTAGTTTGACAGTTCCACAGGTTTTAGTCTGAAGTTGAAAGGAAAAGACTAATTATTTTTATGTAACTTCACATTTTATGTATGTATGTATCTATGTGCATACATCGATTAATCTATACATATAATAAAATTGTATCAGGTCGATGTCTGTACATTATAGATATTAAAGAAAAATTAATGTGGAGGGTCTTTTTAAAGCACCACAACCCAAATCAACCATTTTTAGAATTTTTGTCTGTCTGTCTGTCTGTCTGTATGTTTGTTCGCGCATCACTCGAAAACGAATGCATGGATTTGAATGCAGTTTTCACCGATGTATTGCTAGAGATCTAAATTAAAATTTAGGAAGAAAAAAAGTTAGAGAGTTGCCACCTGTTTGAAAATTGGAGTTTAAGTAAATTGATAAGAAAAAATGAATATTGCAATATGGGCGTCAAAAGAAAGAGAATGAAGAAGGCTTACAGCCAGAAATATTTTTTTAGAGTTGCCACCTGTTTGAAATTTTACATTTAATTTAATTTATAAGATAAATTGAATATTGCAATATGGGGATAAAACTGAAAGGGTTTAGGAAATTATACTGCCGAAAATATTTTTAGGGAGGGCTGCCACCTGTTTAAAAAATTTTATTGAATTAAATGATAAAATAAATGAAATCTAAATATACATCTAGATATCTATATCTATACATATAATAAAATTGTAACAGGTCGATGTCTGTACATTATAGATATTAAAGAAAAATTAATGTGTGGGGTCTTTATTAGAGCAGCAGAAGCCAAATCAACCAATTTTAGAATTTTTGTCTGTCTGTCTGCCTGTATGTTTGTTCGCGCATCACTCGAAAACGAA